TACAGGCTATGTAAACTGTCAACCACGAAAATTAAACCACGAATTGCCCCACTAGGAGCAAACCACGAAAATATCGACCCACGAAAATATCAAGCTATACGGTATTAAGTTTATTAAAAAGTGGAAAATTTTTCATACGGATAAATAGGGGTGACATACGTGTACAAACAAACAAACAAACAGACAGACAGACATACATACATACATACGTGTCTCGTTTATGTGGGGCTCGCTCAGGCTTGCCCCAATTAGGATTAATTTTTACATGTCACACCCATTATTTGTATAGCCACACCCATGCTGACTGATATTATTAGTATTTGTTTATGTATCTAGAACTGGGAGATACTGAAACCAGGAGCAGTACCTAATGAGGGACTGTGGCCTATGGAGAGATGTTCTCATGCTAGTGCTATTATCAATGGTGATTCTACCTCACCTACACTAGTAGTGATTGGTGGACGGGATAAGAAGAATCAACTAGTTAATGAATGTTTGTTATTTGATAGTATCACTACTGGTCAGTACAGTTGTAGGAAGGTATGTGTGTGTATAGTACTGTAATGATGTGTGTGTATGTGTATAGTTAGGTCAGTTGAGAGTATGACACTAATACTGATGTATATTGATGATAGATTAGTAATTGTTAGTGTGTTCAGTAGATAACACTATCACTGATGAAACATTAAGAATACAATAGAACCACCCACACATTTGATTAAAAATTCCACATTACATTATCTTATGAGCCAACCTTAATGTGTGTGTGCGTGTGTGTGTGTGTGTGTGTGTGTGTACTATTAACAAATTTCCTATTTTAAAAATATTGAGATTTAGGCCACGTTTACGTTTACACAGAAACGAATGAAAACGTGATGAACTCTTGATAGAACTCTATTGAAATGAAAACGGTGTTCAAAGTGGACGATGCGTTTTGCGTTGCTGTGTAAACATAGCCTTAATTTTGTACATATTTTGTTATTCTTTACATGTGTGCATGAAATAAAATATATATTTTGTTCAGATTAGAATTGACTTTACAATTACAATAAATGTAACAATTATCTACATGTACGTGTACATATGAAATGATACAATGTCTCATTTTTATAAGTAACTGTATAAACATCATGTATCAGTAATTACTTGTATACTTCTCTTTATCTACAGATTCCTCTACCTGAATCTGTTACTGGTAGATACAGTCACTCACTCACAGCAGTCACAATGTCACCAAACTGTGTGTGGCTAGTAATTGTTGGAGGATGTAAAGAGTTTGAATGGAAAGATGTTGGAGGAGGAAAGGAGGAGCCGATGGTTACATTTATTACTGATACTAATAGACTAATAATGATAATTGAATTAGGTAAGATAATATTAATCAATTGTAAGGATATGAGCATTTAATACATAATTACATTAAATAATGTGCCACTCATTTTTATAGTATTTACAGTATTTGTAAATTTCAGTTCCTAATTATGATGTACATTTTCCATTCATTTTGTATACTGTATACACACTACAATACCACTGTATGTGTGGGTGTGTATTTACAACCACTATAAATGATACCATTAGTTTATAAATTAAATACATTTATTTATAAATATATAATGTATCTTATTGTGTCTCAGTATATAGTGAAGCTGGTGAGTGGATAGTACAGTCAGTACTGGATGGTAATGATCTCACTAGTAAGAACTATCAAGAAAAGTATCAATCGTACAGCAAGACCAGAACATGGTGGATGGATCAGCAAATAGAATATCCGACAGAGAGGGAAATGAAGCTTCAGAGATATATACAATCTTTACATCAAGACCTACAAGTGGCTCATGAGAGCAAAGTATCACTACAGGAGGCACTGGTTGAGGCCAATAAACAAGGTATTTAGGATACTACACACACACACACACACACTTTAACTGTACTAACTGATTACTATTATGTAGTATTGTGGGGTTATTGGTAGTGTGAGTATGTGTATTAATACTGGTTTACATTATGATACTAGTGGATTAGACAATGTTGAGTATGGAATTACTGTAATTCTTCTAAAATTTCGCACCTCTAATTTCAAAAATAAATAATTTTTAAGCACTTTTATTTCAAAATTAATTCTAATTATTTGTTTTGTAAATTATGATGAAAGTTCTTCTAATTTTGCCATTTCCCTCCGATTTCAATACTTGACAGCATTATAACACATGGCATGTCCAGCTATTGCAATGGGACTTCCGGTCGCATTGATTTAATGATATTCATTGGAATTACCATAGCAACGGCAGCTCAGCAATGGTGGATTGATAGGACGCTTCACTACAAAGCCTGCTAACGTCTTTCTGGTTCATGGATGGGACCTCACTAGATACTTGGAGCTTCTTGAATGCTACTTAATGCAATTGGTTATGGTAGTTTTTTCATATTCTATTGTTAAAGTGGCAGGCGTGGCGCAAGAAGACTCATCCACTAACAAAAGGCCTTCTTGTTATTACTTTAAAAGGATCTAGAGACATGATTTGCTTGTATAGCTGTTAAGCACTCTTAGTTTTACTTTATTATTCCCGTGAGAAGAGAAAAGCACTTGTTCACTCTTGTTGCTGCACCCGTTATCACTGAGACAACTAAAATTATTTCACCTTTAGAAGACTAAAGTACCGAACAAAGTTTTGAATTTTTTTATCTTTTTTGCATGATTGGGCAGTAAAAATGTTGTACTTTCACAAAATAAGTGCGCAATTTGTCAAAAATTGTTTGAAATTTAGATATAACCATTCAAAAAGTAAAAAAATTATCATACATACATAAAGGAATGACAAAATGGCGGCACTGACTGCCCTCATCTTTAATCTGCAAATGTTCCACACAAAGTTACTCCAAGTGCTGTCATATTTAGCAGGAACACAGGTATAATTATGGAGAACAACTACTGAAGTGCGCAAATTGATGAGACTTATTCTGAAGAAAGATATAGCCTAGTAAATGGAAATGTCCATTCCTGCCCTGTATAAAGTCAACGAGTAGTATACGGAGATAATTGCTCAGTATACTAATCCGCGACCGCTCATTGCTGGACATGGGCCTGTGCTGGAAGAGGCCAAAAATCATGTCTAACTCACAGTGATGCATCGAGCATCACTCCGCCAGACAGATGACTGCCATTAGTAGGCCTAAGTTCAAGATTCAGATTGTGTTAGTCAAGCAACAAAGAAGCATTGACAGGCTTATATCTTGTCCAAATATGCATCTTAGCATAGGCGGCGGCAGGATTGGAAGAGGAGTCGGGCAATAAATGGCACGCGAAGCGCGCCGCGATTTTGGCCACACCCACTTTTTCCCACGTATTTTGGGCGTATGCTCAACGCACTCATACAGTATGATATAGCATAAAAAGGCGCCCTATCTTATATGTAAAGCTTTATCCAACCTGTAAAGTGCTAGTCCTGGTCCTCTTGGAAGGCTTGTTGACAAAGGAAAGCAGAAAAGACTGTCTCTTGCTAGCCATGGTAATTATTTATGACTAAAAATGATGTCATTAATTAAAATTTCATTTCCGGTCAAAATTTTTGGTCGGGCATTGCCCGTCCATGCCCGACCCTGCCGCCGCCTATGCATCTTAGTGCCTCCTATTTTGTCATAATTAATTGCTAGTTGGCCATAAAGGCTTAGTTTACTCTAATTATTCATTTTCAAAATTTATTTATCAAAAGTGACTGTGGCGAATTTTTAGAAGAATTACAGTAAGTATCCTGTACTCAATAAAAATGTCAAAATTGTCCATGTATTAGAAATAATGACATTCATGTAGAGTGAGCTCTGCTTACCATATGTGGTATGATTAGCCATAATCATAGTACATGTATTTATGGGCTACTGTACATGCAGTGCAACTTTGTATAAGGTAGAAATAATATTGAATATGATTATCTAATGGTTTGTACATTGGTTGAACCAGTGTTTGTTGTGTATATATTATCTGTATATTCTGTTGTGTTATTATGCATATACTGATTACTCTCTTCTTTTATATTATTATTCAGTTAAAGGTGATGATAGTAATGATATTATGAGCAGTGTGTTAGAAGAGATGAGGCAAGAACAGGAAAAGTTAATTAAAGAGAAACAGATTATTACTGGTTAGTGTATCATCAGTACATAATATTAGATGAGAGAATATTCTTTTAATGTATAGAGGATTATGAGAAACTCAAAATCAAAGTTGCTGATATGGAGGAAAAGGAGGAACAATATCTCAAGGAGAAACAGATCATTACTGGTTAGTGTTTGATCATCAATCAATAATAATTATTAATATTCTATTAATTTATAG